GTGGGGCATTGCTGTACGCTGAGTCTTCACTCAGAGCTCCACACTTGACCCTTGAGCTGAATAATTTGACTCATATAGTATCTAGCTTCGTATATAGGGTCAGAAGCACCACAGAGAATTTTCCCTGTGACCTGTTGCACCAAGACCAGGGGCTAGGACTGCTTTCCATGGACAAAATGCAAAGTAGATGAAATTTATCACTGATGCTTTCTAATATAGCTCCCCACCCCCCGCTAAATTATACTAACGTGTGGAAGGTTATATGTATAAGTACCCTGCCTTCTCTCACTCTTTTTTTCTTTCCAATATGGAAATAATAATAATAATAATAATAACAACAACAGACTTATTACTGGGTGCTAGATACCTTTCTAAGCACTTCATGAGTCCTAATTTAACTAACAATCCTTTGAGGCAGATATTATTATTATCCTTCTACTGCACATAAGCAGACTGAGTCACAGAGAGGTTAAGAAACTTGTCTAAGGTCACACAGCTGGGATTCAAAGCTAGGCATTTAAATATGATGTTATTATACTGCCTCACTAATAAATTATTGTTTTTTCTGATGGTGAAAGTAATGCCTGCCAAGTGTCTTTAAAAATCGGAGAGTAAAGTGTAAGCACTCCAGAACTATGATGACTAGAAAGCACAACATGTAATAATTTTTTGTGCAATGAGCTTGGTTTCTGAATTCTACTGCTAAGAATGCTGGCTAGCTGAGGTTGACCACAGGGCTGAGGCTGGGCCGACTCTGCCGCAACCCAGATGTCAGCCCTTACCACACAGCCATGGGGGTAGAGGCAGAATGGAGGGTGCCAGAACCTGGATCGACTTTGCAAAAACATAAAAACAAAGTATAAGGAGATCATCTCCCATAATCCGGTAACCCAGGGAGAGCTAAACAGCTTATCAAGCGGATATAAATCCACATTAGTTCTTATTTCAGAAATGGAACCACATTGTACATCGTGGTGTTTTTTGCTTGTTTGTTTGTTGAGGCATAATTTTTTCAAAAATTTTATTCATTAGAGAGAGAGAGATAGCGTGAGCAGAGAGATGGGCAGAGGGAGAGGGAGAAGCAGGCTCCCCACTGAGCAGGGAGCCCAACACAGGGCTCAATCCCAGGACCCCAGGATCATGACCTAAGCTGAAGGCAGCTGCTTGACCAAGCGACCCAGGTGCCCCAAGGCATAATTTATATACCATAAAATTCTCTTATTTTAGTCATACCAATAATTTTAATAAATTTGCAGAATTTTGCAACCATGACCACAATACAATTTTAGACCATTGCATCACCCCCAGAAAAACCTCATATACCCATCTGCACTTCCTCTCCATTCCCAGCCAGCTCCTGGTGATCCTCTCTATATTGATCTGCCTCTTCTGGACATTTGATATAAATGGGAACATACAATATTTTGAATCTGGCTTCTTTTCCTTAGTGTACCATTTTCAAGTTTCATTCTTGCTATAGAATGTAGCACTACCTCATCCTTTATGATGACTGGGTAATAGTCCATGGGATGTATATACTGCATTTTGTTTATTCATTCAAGCATTGATGGATTTGGATTGTTTCAAGTGGGTGATGCTGCTATGGATGTTCATGTCCAAGTGTTTGTGTGGACATATGTTTTCATTTCTCTGCGGTAGATATCCAGGAGTGAAATTATTTGGTCATATGGTAAAGTTTTCCAGGATGGCTGTGCTGTTTTTACATTCCCACTGGCAATATCTGAGAATTCTAATGTCTCTACATCCTAGCCAATACTTGCTACTTGTCTGTGTTTTCGATCATAGCCATCCTAGTGGGTGTGCAGTGATTCTTCACTGTTGTTTTTATTTGCATTTCCCTAATGATTGACGATATCAAGCATCTTTCCATGTGCTTATTGGCCATTCGAATATTTTCTTTGGTGAAATGTCCATTCAAAATGTTGCCCATTTTTTTGATTGGGTTGTCTGTTTTTTTATTAAATCACAAGAGGTTTAATATATTCTAGATACAAGTCCTTTATCAGATATATGATTTCCAAATATTTTTCTCCCAGTCTGTGGCTTTTCAGTTTCTTAGTGCTGTCTTTAGAAGTACAAAGGTTGGGGCGCCTGGGTGCCTCAGTTGGTTAAGCGGCTGCCTTCAGCTCAGGTCATGATTCCAGAGTCCTGGGATCGAGCCCCGCATCAGGCTCCTTGCTCTGCGGGGAGCCTGCTTCTCCCTCTCCCTCTGCCTGCTGCTCCCCCTGCTTGTGATCTCTCTCTCTATCTCTCTCTCTGTGTCAAATAAATAAATAAAATCTTTAGAAAAAATAGAAGTACAAAGGTTTTGAATTTTGATAAAGTCGTTTTTTTTTAAGATTTTATTTATTTGAGAGAGAAAGCGAGAGAGAGAGCACATGAGAGGGGGGAGGGAAGAAGGAGAAGCAGACTCCCTGCTGAGCAGGGAGCCTGATACGGGACTCGATCCCTGGAATCCAGGATCATGACCTGAGCCGAAGGCAGTCGCTTAACCAACTGAGCCACCCAGGTGCCCCTTGATAAAGTCAGTTTATCATTTTTTTTCTTTTTGCTCTTATCACTTGTGCTTTGATGTCATATCCAAGAGGTCTTTGCCTAACCCTAAGTTTTGGAACAGACCCTCCCCCGACACTCATCAGCATGTCTTGGCCATCTGTCTACCTCAGTGCATACAGATCTGCATCATCAGCCTTCAAAGATCTGGTTTCTGGAAAGAGGGGAGGGAAGAAAGGAGACAATAGGGCCAGACCACTCAAAATATCCAGAACGACTCTGCTCGTCCCTAAGGGCTCCCTACTTCTCTTTTGGATCATCTTGTGCCTGATACCTCCTCTGTGGTTTATGAATAAAAATTTTATTAGGCTACTAACTTCATCACATTCTATGTTTTCGTACCTTGGTCACACAGTTTCCTAGCCCCAAATTGTCTGTAGCCTTAAATCCCTCCATCACAGATTCTAGTGATAGGAGGCTCCTAAGAAACACGTGCTCCCCTGTATGTAATTTGGGACTCGACGGTCACTGTTTCCAGCATTTACTTCATTCTCTTAAATTGGATTGGGTCTTGGGAATAATTCAGCACTAGCTAATGTATTAAAGTATAAATATATGGAAAAGGATAATTGGTAGGTAATCGCAATTGGCATGTGTGTTTTAATGGAAGATTTAGGAGTATTCCTCAACAAAATAATGGTTATCAATTGACAGGTTCCAGAATGAGATAAATGGTTGCATCCTGGCCTCTGTCCAGAGTAGAGCTTCACTGGCTTGATGGTAAGGATATGAGGTATTGTGTAAAGCTAGAAGCTTCTTTAGGAAATAATTTTCAGCCAGAGAACACTAATGGAGAAAATGCAGGCTCAGGGAAAGAGCCTGTGAGAGGGGTGCTTCAGAATAAGAATGGGAAAAGTAGGTTGGAGGATTTCAGAGCTCAGTGCTGAAAATGCTCATCTGCTAAGGGAGGGTAACCAGATAACCACTTTGATGGGAAGCCAAGTGGGGTGGCCTCCATCCTTTGCAGACTGAACCCCCCTGGCTGGGGGTGTGGAATTTGGAATCTGAGAACCAATACAGGGGAAAAGCAAGGAGAGTGGGGGAGAGACGTTAGGGCAGCCCCCTGGCTGGACAAGGGCCGTTGTGAGATTAGGGAAGTGGCACCGAGCAAAACAGATAAAGGGCCAACAATGAGCTCTTCCAAGCTTGTTGGAAACTCTGTGAGGCTGAGAAAGGCAGAGGGAGGTCATTGAAGTCCTTTAAAAGACAGCCTTAGGTATTTAACTTTTGCTTTTCACAAGGCAAACAATACCAAGCCACTGCATGGGGCCAGCTGCTGTTTTTGTGGAATATACTGGAAGACTAAGAAACAGGAAGTCCAGTTGGAAGTTACTGCAGATCCAGACAAGGGAAGGGCTGGTGTTGTAGGGACATTGTGGGTGTGTGGGAAGAAATATGATCTGATCAGCAGGCCTTAGGGATGGATTTGCTGTGTAAGTGAACAGAGAGGAGGCACACAGGGGTGAGGGAGGGGTGTGTGTGTGGGGGGGGAAGGCTATAAGACCACTGAGGGTCTTATAAAAGCAAAAGTTAAATACCTAAGGTATAATTGCACACAATGAATGCATAGATCTTAAGTGTGGGATGAATTTTTGATAAATGTCTACATCTGTTAAGTACGCCCCCTGTCCCACCCCAGTGAGGTTTTTTTAAAGGCTGAGTGTCACGTGCCTGCACCTATGTGAAGGTGCCTCAAGACAAGAAACTTTATGCACCTGCAGTGAGAAGCAACAGGGGCTGGAACTATGCGTTTGAGAGTTACCTGGAGCCAGCAGAACTCTCGTGAACGCATGAACACAAAAGGCAGCAAGGAATAACTGGAGAACTGAGAGACCCAAGTTTTGGAGCGCTTGAGGGTCTTATTTGTGGATTAAGTGCAGAGATTTCTGTTTTCTCAGGCCTTCAATCTCATACTTAGGTGAGAAAGAAACCGCTTTCCGAGTTGGCTTCTGCCAGCCTCTGCCCTACCGAGCTAACGTGGAGAATGGGGGAAGGGAGCTAGAGGACCCCACAGGGTGGTATGCACCTCTTCCAAGCAGCGTGCACCACTAGGATGCACAGCTACATTCCTGACCTGGGAGCTCAGCTCCCTCCGTGCGCAGTGTGCCCCGGCAGCCGGGCCTCGGCACCTGGGAGAGCGCGGAGATCGCACTGGCCCCGGCCGCTCTGCACCTCGAGGTGCGTTTGCAGCCACCTGCAGCCACGCCCTCGGTGTTTGCAGCCAGTGCAAGCTGGCTCCCGGCGGGAACGCGGTGGCTGGAGTTGGGGGGCGTGGCTGCATTCCCTCGCGCCCTCTCCCGCCCAGGCAGTCCCGGGAACGTTCTGAAAAGTATCCAAAAGTTCTGCGCCGCGCGCGCGCCAAAAGAAAAAAAAGGGCACAACCCCCCACTAGTCTAGGCGTTGTGTGCCCGGACCTCGCCACTCGGGCTGCACCTCTGGCTGCAGCGCACACGCCTTCTGCGCCTTCCCCTCGGGAGCCTCGCGGTTGGCCGTGCTCTTCCCTTGCAGCCACTCCAGACCCGAGAGGGGGCCGCAGGGTCCTCGCACTTCTCGCTGGGGCAGCATGCCCAACGACGACGCATTCAGCAAGCCCTCTGCATCTTCGGAGGCCCCGCACGCCGCCGGGGCACCCCCGCAGGGCAAGGCCGGGGGCTTTGGCAAAGCGGCTGGTGCGCTGCTTGGGAACAGCGGTGGCGCGGGCGCCGGGGGCAGCGGCGGCGGCGGCGGCGGCAGCGGCTCAGGCTCAGGCTCGGGGGCGTCGGGCATGGGCTCCGGGAGCAAGAAGTCCCCGCGGCTGCCCAAGTGCGCGCGATGCAGGAACCACGGCTACGCGTCGCCGCTCAAGGGCCACAAGCGCTTCTGCATGTGGCGGGACTGCCAGTGCAAGAAGTGCAACCTGATCGCTGAGAGACAGCGCGTGATGGCCGCGCAGGTGAGTGCGGGCGTCCGGACACCGAGGGTCAGCCCCAACTTAAAGTTCCCCGGGCCAGGCGGGAGCCACGCGGTGGCGGGGTTCCGGAGAGAGGCAGTGGAGCTCGCCGACGGCCGCGGCGCGCGGGGCCCGGGGCTCCCAGCTTCGCGCCACGCCGGGCTCGCAGGGCCGGGAGTCCTCCAGGATCCGGCCCGCGGAGCAGGGAGGTTGCGGGGTTTGCTCGGCCTCGGAGGGTTCCCTGACCCCGACCTTCAGCAGAGTTGCGGGGTCGGCCCTTTGGGTTTCCCCGGGACCTCTGATCCCTCTTTCAGAGCAGAGGGTTGCGGGGTTCGCTCTGTTGAGAGTTACGGGATCCCTGACCCCGCCCTCCAGCAGAGAGTTAGGGGGTTCACCCCGTCGGAGGTCCCAAGAATCCATCCCCAGGATCTCTGATCCTGCTTCCGGAACAGTAAGGTGCGGGGTTCGCTCTGCTCGGGAGTCCCTGATCCCGCCCTCCTGCAGAGTCGCGGGGTTCGCGCCCTCGGAGGTCCCCAGAATTCCTAGGATCTCCGATCGTTTTTCAGAGCACTGAGTTGCGGGGTTCGCGCCTTCGGAGGTCCCCAGGATCTCTGCTCCGGCTTTCAGAGCAGGGAGTTGCCCGGGTCGCCCCGCCGCGGGGCGGGGGGAGGGGTGTCCCGCGGATCTCCGACCTCGCTGTCGGAGCAGAGAGTTGGGGAACCCACCCGCCTCGGGAGGCCCTAGGATCCTCGCCCCCGAGCAGAGACTAGCGCTCACACTGCGGAGGGTGCGGAGGGCGCCCACTCGGGCGACTCTCGGGGACGGCGGCCGCCGCTCTTCCGGGTACCGTGCGCGTCGCGTGGTTCTGGAAAAGTCGCGGCAGCGCGCGCGGGCGCCGCGTGGTCCCCGCCGAGTTCCCGGCGCCCTTTCCGAGCTCGCCGTCCGCGGGCCCGCGCCGCGCGCTTCAGCCATTTTGAGCGCCGCGAAAATAGTATTAGCTTTCTAACTTCTCCCCTCGACCTGACTCAGGTCCGACTTAGTGTGCGTCGGTTTTCAAACACACTTCAGAATTTTTAAAAGGAAGCGCAGGGGGGGAAATGGCACGGGTTTGAGGGTTCGTCTGTAGTTCTTTTTTTTAAAACGTCCTAAGCAGGTCAGGAATTTAGCATCTTAAACCGAAATTGTCCGCGTCGTTTGGTGTCCCGAAAGGATTTTTTAGGAGAGAATAATATACATTCTTTCCAGCTAAAATTTGTTTCATCCTTTTAAGACAGTTTATTTAAGATGAAAAGATATCAAAGAAATGTTTACTAACGATGCGCTACTTTTCACTGGGAACGTGTAAATATCCTCCGTGGAAAAGAATTCATATAAGAGCGTTTAACAAAGACTGTGTAAATGCTTAAAGATTATGCTTTTTATAGACATCTCGTTTTTTAAAAATGTGTTTTAAGTTGGATATATGAAGTGCAATCATGGGCATACAGGTTTCCCTTAACTGCTTTTTTATGGGTTTTTAGCGTAATCTATAGTGGGTGAAAAGATTATCCTGATGTAGCGTTAAAATGCATCACAGTGAGTTTACTGAAAAAGACTTAGGGACGTTGAAGTTGTGTTTGTAGGTAGAAAAATCGTCTGAACATGAGTTGTTGGCTTAAATATTGAGTGCGGAGCGTATGTTTGGGAGGAGACTTTTCCTCAAAATGTAATAAAAACATGTATTTAAGTAGGGCCATTCATTTTGAATAAATTTTGTTAATAGGCGCACCATCTTGCAAAAAGGCTGTTTGCTATGTTAAATAAAAACGACTCAGGATTACTTCTATAATACGAAACTTCATTTTCCACACTGGAAGGCTCCTGCTGTGCTAGATGAAATCCTGTAAAATTCCACCTACCAGCCATTCTTTTCGAAATAGTGTGAAATTGATCTTCGGTATGACCATAAAATAATTGCATTTTAATCACTTGCCCCCCCCACCTTCCCTTGTTAAATAGCTTTTCCTTAAAATCTTTGAGAGGCCTTTATAAAGGTGTCCTTAGTTTATGGCATGTAAAATAAATATCCTGTGCATTTTGTGCATGCATGGGATTTGTGTGAATCGGGATATAAGCATGCATTGACATATTTCAGAGATTTGTAGGTATTTTTTGTTGCTATTTTTTGGTCAAATCCTGAATATTTTGTTTCTAAACTTGGTTAATAACAGAAAAATTCAAGACTGAAGCTTAATCATGTAATGTTAAATTATTATTTAAGGATGTTTTTGTAAGCTGAAGACTCTTGGTATGAGTAAAATTATTTGTAAGTTAATCACCTTGCTAAATTTGGACTACAATTTTCCTAAAACAAATAGTAGTTGTGTTTCTGGTTTACCGTTTTGATTTCAACTTTTGGCTTCTGTTTTGGCCTCTGAGGTACAGATGTTTTACTTTCCCCTTTCACTATCACCGAAAGTCAAGTTTCAACAGAAAGTCTCTTTTTTTGTTAACTTGTAGGCAAAAGTACAATTTATTTTCTTTACACTTTTTTTTTTTTGCAACCTTTAACAATGTTATTTAAAAGCAGATAAGTTGAAGAGGGACCATGAGGAGTCTCTTAGGTTATTTAGGTCCTTTACATCCTCACTTGCTGCTCCTTCCATAGAGGATCTGTCTTCTGCCTTTCTACCTGCAGCTTCTTCCTTCTTCAGGGACTTCAACACCCTATTCCAGCCCCTTTCCACTATTACGCTCTGCATGCTCCCTCCATTTGCGGGGGGGGGGGGGGGGGGGGGGGGGGGGCTGTGGGGTTTCCTAAGCAGCCCCTGCCTTTCCTGCCCACCCTGCCTCCTTGCTCTGGATTGTTCTGCCCCTTCCTTCATTCTTGCCTGTGCAAGTGTTACTCATTCTGTTCTTCAAGGCCCTCTTCCAGTACCTCTTTTGGCAGATTCTTACCCTTAAAGCCATTTCTGCCACCAGAGTCCTGCTGTGGGCTTGATGTGTCCTTCTCCCGTGGTTTTTGCCACATTTGGTGTTGAGTTGCCTTTGCATGTTTGCCTGCCTCCTTTTTCTGCTTTTAAACAGTGACTACCTTGGGATCTCATCTAATCTTACTGTATCTTGCTGGTCGCTGGCCCCAGTACAGTGGCTTTTTACAAATGTGTGGCGTGAAGGAATGAGTGATCCCATTCTCCTTCCTTCCTAATCTATCAATGCTGACTTCTCTTCAGATGGAACTCCTGTGCTTGGCTGACTCTACAGTTTTTCCTGATCCTCCCTAGCCAACCTTAGTTCCTGCTCTACATACTCATTTGTGTAACAGACATTTTTTGACCTACTGTGGGCTAGACTCCATTTCTCAGCTTTGGCTGCACATCCTGGATACCTGGGTAGCATTCAAAAAGAACGAGAGAATCTCAGACCTTACTCCTGGAGCTCATGAATCATGATATCTGGGGTGACCGGGGCTCCGGGGGGTTTTGGCAAAGCTGTGCAAGTGATTCTGGAGTGCGGGAGGCTGACGGGCTGCCCTGTGCTTCCAGGTGGCCCTGAGAAGGCAGCAGGCCCAGGAGGAAGAACTGGGGATAAGCCACCCCATTCCGCTGCCCAGCGCTGCCGAGCTGCTTGTCAAGAGAGAGAGCAATGGCAGCAACCCGTGCCTGATGACCGAAAGCAGCAGCACCTCGCAGCCCGCGCCGGCCAGCACCCCCACCACTGCAGCATCAGGTAAGGGGGGCCTGGGGCTCACATGGCCGCCGACCAGGCCTTGGCCACAAAAACCGTCTCAGGACTGCCCTGAGCCATGCATCACATCCAGAACTTAGAGAGTTTTCTAAAACATTCTCCCTCTACAGGTTTGTTTTTGGCTGCTTCCCAAAGGAGATGGCCAGGAATTCTAGAATTGGAAGTTTGGTAGCTTCACTTTCCTGTTGGTTATTAGCTAAGTCTGAATCTGGACAGAGTCAGACTCATCGATTATCGGAAGGCTGAGATTGCAGATTTCATCTCTGTCCACCCTCCGTTTGGGGGTTCTGTTGGTGGGAGCTAACGATCCTTCTTTCCTAGAACTGTAAGTCCATTTCTCTGGCAAGGACTGCGATGCACTTGGGGAAAGTGTCTGACAAGGCCAACTCCTAGGTGTCCAGTTTCGGTGGGCATTGGGAAATGAGGGGAAGCATGCCCCATTGGCTTCGATTCTCCCCTGTGTGCTAAGACTGTTCCAGGGGCAGTATACGTGCTGGTTCGTTTCATTTCATTCTTAGATAAAGTAATCTGGTTGTACTAACTCTGTTTTACACATTTAAAGACTGCGGTGTGGGAAGTGTGACTGGCTAAGCCCACGGAACTAGAAAGTATCTGAATTGGTCCATCTGCCTCCAGAGCTCCTTGTGCTTACTGCCCTGGGTCTCCAAATTACCCCGGAAATCACTGTGGTCTAGAGCTGCACTGTCCAGTACGGCAGCCCCGAGCCACATATGGCCACTTAAGTTTAATCTAATTCCAATGAAATAAAATGAAAACATTGAACCAAAGAAGGTATATGGTTAGCATTACTGATCACTAGGGAAATGCAGATCAAAACTACAGTGAAATACCACTTCATACCCATTAGGATGGCTGCCATCAAAAATACAAAAAACAAAACCGCGGAAAATAACAGTACTGGCAAGGATGGGGAGAAATCAGAACGTTTGCGTATTCTTGGTGGAAATGTAAAATGGTGCAGCTGCTAGAGAAAACAGTATGGCACTTCCTCAAAACTTAAATACAGAATTACCAGATGACTCAGCAATCCCACTTCTGGTGTTTACCAAAAAGAATTGAAAGTGGGGTCTCATAGAGATACTTGTATACCAGTGTTGATAGTAGCATTCACGGTAGCTAAAATGTGGGAGCACCCCGAGTGTCCATTGACTGCTGAATGGATAAGCAAAATGTGGTCTCTACACACAGTGGAACGTTATTCAGTCTTCCAAAGGAAGGAAATCCTGCCACATGCTACAACTTGGATCACCTTGAGGGTATTATGCTGAGTGAAATAAGCCGGTCACAAAAAGACAAATACTGTACGGTTGTACTTACTTAAAGTCATCAAAATCTTGGGGACAGAAAGAATGGTGATTGCCAGGGGCTGGGGGTGGGGGGATGGAGGGAATGGGGAGTTATGTTTCATGGGGATAGAGTCTCAGTTTACAAGATGAAAAGGGCTGTGGAGATGGATGGATGGTGTGGCGACGGTCGCATGACATCGTGAATGTGTTCAATATCACTGGTGTGCATTTAAAAATGGGTAAGATGGTAAATTTTATGTTATGTGTATTTTACCACTGTAAAAAATGTTGAAAAATTTAAAACCTTCAGCTCCTCGGTTGCATGATCCACATTTCAAGTGCCCTGTGGGCACATCTAACTCAGGTTCTAATTACTTAAATTGTTGGAAAGTGTGCTTTTCCTTTTTTCACAGAGTTCCATTTAGTGGCACTGGTCTAGAACGCAGGATTTCTAAGAAATCCACCAAAGATTTGTGAAATCCTGTTGGCAAATAAATACGCACACCGTTAACCCTGAACAACACCCCCGCCCTGCGTAGTCAGAAATGCACCTGTTAACTTCTGACTCTCCAAAAACTTAACTGCCAATAGCCTACTATTGACTAGAAGCCTTAGGAATAACAGGAAATAGTCGATTAACAGGTATTTTGTGTGTTATATGTATTAAACACTGTATTCTTATAACCAGGTAAGCTAGAGAGAAGAAAATATTATGAAGAAAATCATAAGGGGGAGAAAATACAATAATACCACTGCCATATTTATTGAAAAAAATCAGCATAGCAGTGGACCCTTGCAGTTCAGATCCTGTGTTCTTCAACAGTCCATTGTATTACATACTAAAAACGTGTGCTGAGATTCACAGACCGTCTTCGGAGTCTGCTGAGGCTTCCCTGAAATACAGCCTTGCAATGTGGTTCCTCCTAACAGCTTTTCATGAGTTACTCAGTTTGCTGTGCCCACCAGCTGGACTAAAGTTACTCAGCTTTCTGCCACTTACTCACTGTACAACTTTGAACAGGTCACTGAAGCTCTCTGGGCCTTTTGTTTTCTCTATCAAAAATGAGGGAGGAGGTCTTTGAGGGTTTTGAAGACTGAGTCTTGACCATTAAAATGAAGGTAAAGGTCAGCAGGCATCAAAGAAAGCCAGTGAGGGATGGAAAGCTCGAGTCTACGCCCCAAGTCAAGTAGGTATGTCTGAGTACCTGTCAGTCTGTGTGTCGCTGGGGCTATGTAGGTTCTGTAGTTATCAAGGGGAATCATATTTTCTTTTTTTAGTTTGGTTGCTCATAACATATGCTTACAAGGCTTTCCAAACTTCCCTTTTGATAAAAAGGGTGGAGTATATCTATCAGAAATAGGATCTTTACCCTTCAAGGTCAGGGCTGGTCTGGTGGATTTAGCTGGAGGGCTGAAATGAGAAAGGGGTGTGTCAGAGGAATAAAGGGGAGTGACTCATTGGATTTTTACAAACGTAGGAACTATTCCCATTCGCAGATAAGGGAACCAGTTGTAAGGAAGGTGCCCCAGAATAAAGCTGAGTTGAGCTGGGATTCATTCCAGAGCTGTCTGGTCCCAAAGCCCATGGATTTTCAATTTTACCTGCCTGTGAAGAGAGACTGTGGGAGCAGTTGCCATGTTTCCTTAGGAAATGGACAATTACAATCAGAGGCTGTGGTTTAATCCTCAGAAGGGATTTAGGGCTGCCCAGCAAATAAGAACAACATTAGGGGCAAAAGTCCTTGCCATTCACCGTTGTCATAGAAGGCTGTGGCCACTGAGCTTCATGGGAGGAATACAGTGATGGATAAACGCCCAAGCTGGGCAGTTTCTGGGGCACTAGAAGTGAACCTGGCGTCACCTGCTGTCCCGCATTCCACCTCCAGGGAAGGGATGCCACAGTTGGATTGTCTACGCCAAAATAGGAGCTTTGGAGAGGGATCTCAGGCTAGATGGAGTTCAGCATGACAAAGGCTTCTCGCAAGCAGAGTATTTCAGAGTGGCAACAGGGAAAGTTACAAAGAGAAGCAGCAGGGGAGCAAGATAGAAGGTTCAGGGTCAAGGAGGATGTGACCGATTCCCTTCTTTGCCTCTGGAGCTGGTAGACCTTGGAGTCATTTTGGAGTCTTAAATTGACCCTCAGAGGGAGGGGAACTCGGAAGCCAGCCGTGTGCTGTGCTTCTGGGCTCTGGAAGCATCGCTCTGGAGGCTTTGCCTGCCTTGGGCAGGGGGCTCTCCCCTCGCTAGCCGACTTCCACGGGGCAGGGGCCGCAGATACATGGTCTCACACCCAAGACTTGCACCAGGGCTCTTGAGTTGAGATCGAGAATTCCAGACTGGGCCAGTAGAAGTAAACTACATAAATAGACAAAGAGGGAGGAAAAGAAAGGGAGGCGGGGAGGTGGAGGAGAGGGAGAAAAGACAGACAGACTGACTGACTGAAGAGTGTCCTTCAAGTTTCATGCAGCACGTGGGGCCCAACTTCTGGAAATTGTTTGCTGCTAACAGGTAGAGCTTATATTACATTTCCAGAGAGTGGGATTTATTAAAAATAGTGCTTCATGTAAGTGGGAAGCAGTGTAGAAAAGCATATTCAGTGAAATGGGATTGTCCTTCCAATCCCAGCCTGCAGGTCGCTTCTGTTTGGCATTTCAGGATTACTCGCTGCCGTACAGGCTCATGTGTCTGTCGCTTTCGTAGATATATCTCTTATTTATGTATTTAACATAATGGCAGTGTATTATTCCCACTGGTGTGTAATTAGGGTTTTTCCCTTCCCTTACAGCAGCTTGAAATTTTATAACGTGCTAGCATCCCATTAGGTGGATGTGAAAGGCTAGGACTTGAAATTATTCAGGAGGGGTGAAAGCCGTCGGCGGGGTCAGACGATGGGGGCCCTACTGACCTGGCTCACACGGGGGCAAGCTGTTCCCCTTCTCTTTCTAATCCCTAATGTTAAGTGTCTGCAAGGGCAGTAACTTAGCGAAATTCAGTAGATTTTTATGTCCTTGAAGTTTCTTAGTTATCTCCTTTTGGCTCCCAGAAGTGCCCAAGTGAGAGTGGAGAGCGCCCAAGAATTATTGCTGAGATTATTGGCTGAACTCAAAGGACGCCGTGAAGGAAATTGGGTTTATTACCAAGCTGTCATTGCATTTATTGGAGAACGGACTTCCTCTGAGTAGGGTCATGTACCCAACGGCTCTACCATCCTTAATCAGAGATTGGCTAGAATCAGCCAAAACACTGACCAGAGATTCCTGGAACGATGGGTGTGAATGATTCTTACTGTTACTGTCATCTATGATGCTGGGTGTCAGCATGGAAGAAAGAGCCTTCTGAAGCAGCGCCCCATTCGTTCCTATTTCTTATGCTAGCAGGATCCAAAAAAAAAGTGAGCATTTTTGATTATGAATCTCAGCGAATTAAAGCAATGTTAGCATTATCTCCATGGCTTTACATTTTGAATTTTAGCATAAAATTGATAGATTCTAATTTTCAGAAGTGTCCGCTGACTTTAAACAGACCCTCACAGACATTCTCCCGCTTTGAAATCTGGGTTCATCTTTGTGCTGTTCGCTATGTTCCCCTTCCCCTTCAGTGTGAGCAGACAGCCAGAGGCTGTTTTGCCCGCTGCTCCCGCTGAGGTCGGTGTGGCTCCTGGCCTCTCCTTTTCTG